TATATATATATATATATATATATATATATATATATATATATATATATCTGCTCTTTGCAACCTGCAAGTGCTCTTGACCACGCCCACTTCTGCACTCTGCACGCTTAACAGCTGATCAGTTGTTCAGCTGCAGCAAGAAGTTTATCCTGCAGCAGTATGAGCTGCAAAAAGCTGCAGGAGGAAGCTTTTTCTGCAGCTCTGGGTTCTCACAAAGGTGCAGCAGGTGCAAAATAATTCAAAATAATTTATTTTAAATAAAAATTCCATGCCGATTGTTTGGCTCATCCATCAATCAGCCAAGTGTGTGTCATGTCCAATCTTATTTTGAAAAACCACGATATAGCGAATCCACGATAAACGAACCGCGAAGTAGCGAGGGACTACTGTAAATACTAAAATAAATATAATGTCACTACTTCACAGATTTTCACCTATCATGGGGGTGTCTGGAACCTAATCCCCGTGACAAGTGAGGGACTACTGTGTCAGTCAATCAACAAATACTGAGCCAAAATTCAGGGCAATACAAGCTGAGACTCTGAGCGCTAATACATTTAGCAAGATCTCACAACATCATGGTTAAGCATAACACTTTTTACAAGGTTTGACCAAAACAGCTGTAACTCTATCTCGTCTCAACATAAAATGATTTAGTTTAAAACTCTGGCATGAATGTTGGTGGACAATATGCATTCCTTCAAGAAATCCAAGGTCTTTATCTTGTTTCTGCTTTAGAGTTAGTATCTGTTAAAAAATAGCATGTAGCTTTTTTCCCGTTGTACCAAATCTGTACTAAACAGTGACACACAATAAAACACAAACCGAACTATGACGGGTGTATGCCCCTAGTATAAAATGTTTTATTTATTTTAACACGTGTGGGGATTTACTTTGACGATTTCCCCTCCTTCCACCTCCATGAGTCTTTGCAAAATCTGCTCAAGATCTTCAGGATTAGACCTCCAGTTCAACAGGCCAAGCAGGTCCACTGAAAGAAAAACACAAACATTGACACCTGAGAACAGATGCAGCATCAACAACATCAACAACATCCGTTAAGGGAATTGTGTTAAACGCTGGGAATTTTAATATAAGCTCAATTAAAGCGGTATCAGAAAACATCCGCAAAATATTAGCAACGCAGATTAACAATGAATTATAAAGCGACTTGTTGGTGGGGGGGGTGTAATGATGCTGCCCATCACAGAATGACTTGTGACAGGACATTTTTTCAATTATAGTTTATTTTAGGACTTGATGTAAGGGGGTAATGAGAAACGAGCCCGGCGGTACCATTTTGAGTGAGTTTGGTGGAGCAGGTGAGCGTTGCGATCTGGAAGCTGTCTTTGGTCACAGGAATCGCTCCTGAGTGGTGAAACTGCTTCCCCGTCTGCTTCTCCTTCTCCTCCACTTCAGTCCAAGTTGCTGGCAAGGTGAGGTAAACATTTGCGTCTTCTGCCTTCTTCACGTCAACCTAAGAAATTCAGAACTCAGAGAATGAATCATAAAGAGCATTGATTGATGGAGATGTAATCTCATGTTTATTGACTTGGAGGGATTCATGCATAATCCATCTGACCACAGTCAGATAGTCATGACAGATTGTCTGCATAATGAGATTATCAAACTTTTCTGTAAATGCAGTGACATAAATTGAATCTTTATAATTATATTAGAATGTTCTCGTGTAACGCCACCTTATAGACGATAAGTTCATGTCGGCCATCTTTTAGTGTGGTTCCATCTCCTCTCATAAGCCTGACGAAAGCCATGCCGAAAGGCTTCTCTGATTTGTCCCTGGCTGAAGGAGCAGAAGGCACGAGTAAATCCAACTCTGTTCTAAAAGACATGCGTTAGACCTTCTGCCATGGGGTTCTGCAGAAAGGTTACAAATAATGTCTTACCTGTTGTAGGTAGCTCTTTAAACAACCTTGCTTTAGAGAAAAACACTTAAATTCTAACACTGACAAACTAACGGGAGTTTAATAAAGATTTTACAGCCGTTTGTGTGGAGTCAAATGTTCTGCTAAATAATTTTGTTTATTATTTTACTTTAATTTTACCAAGTGAAATGTTTGAGAACCAGTTCTCATTTATAAACATGGCCTGGCCAATATTAAAGCTGTTTAGTTGAAGCATTTCCAAAATATGAGCTTATCTCGATTAAAGCCTGTTAACTCAGTGCTGAAGCAGCTGAAAGCCTTCAGCTGATCTTTAGGAAGGAAAAAAATCATCCGTCAAAAAAAAAGCTGAAGCAAGAGACTTCATCATCTTCATCGGCTTCCTCGGCTATTAACAGGAACTTGTAGGTTTGAGCATATTAACAGTTTTGTCCTCCCTTCACTGGCTCCCTGTACGTACCAAAATTGATTTTAAAATTCTCCTGCTAACCTTTAAGTGCATAAATGGCCTCACAACCTCATACCTCTGAGCTACTTCAACCATATGTTCCCTCTCAGGCGCTGAGATCATCCGATCAGCTGCTTTGGACTGTTCCAAAAACCAGGTTGAAGCTCAGAGGAGATCGGGCTTTTTCAGTCATGGGCCCCAAACTTTGGAACAGTTTGCCCCGACACTTCACTTCCTGTTTTTAAATCAGTGCTAAAAACACAACTGTTTTCCCTAATGTTTAACACACTGTGACTTGATTTAGTATTTTATTGTTTTGCGTTTCTATGTTTTTCTTTGGATGCTTGTAATTAATTTTCAGTACTATCATTATTTTTATTGTTACTTTTCCCCATGAAATTACTCCCACTGATTTTACTGTTAAGCACTTTGGTAACAGTTGCTGTTTTAAATGTGCTTTATAAATAAAGTTGACTTGATCAGTGAGTTAAACAGGACCTTTTTCCTATAATCAAGGAGCACTAATATAAACCAATATGAAGTATAGGAGTTGTTTTTAGACACATGTAATCTCCTTTGCTCTAAGCCTCTGTTCTGACTAGCAATTAACTGGTCCATTTGGTCAAATCTAAACATTTATTTCACCGAACTCAGGCCATTCGAAGAGTACTGTACAAAAGTAAGATATTTTTTCATGACCTTTTCATGAAACCCCACTTGAAACGTTCTGAACTCTCCCTTTAACATGGTGGCAGGATCCGTCACAGAAATAAGTAACTCACAGTCTTGGGAGGATCTGTGTCGAAACATCACCCTCAGGTGGCAGCGGCACACGTCTTCAATGGGAATAGTCACCTTGAGGGGAAATAATGAACACAAAGAGGAATGAGCGTCGTATTGTACCCACAAGAGCTACAGTGAATCCTTTATTTCTTTGAACATGTGATGCCTGCAGATGTAGACGCACCTTAACAGTTTCATTCCAACAAGGCTGCTTCACCTGGTAGTAAATGACAGACCTGTACTCTGTTATGCCATCGTAGCCGGCACCAGGAAAAACCGCTTTCTACAGAGAACGAAGAAAGGCAATTAGTTTACAAGGCAATATTATTAATTCTCTCTTTCGCTACGTTTCATATCTGCTTTGACAAAAGAAAAATATTTACAGCTCAAATATAAAATAATGGAGGCATGGCTGGAGACATAAACCTGCTCTGAGAAATTATTAATCGAGAAACGGCAGCCAAGCGGGCAGATCGTGGGAGGCTGCGCTGAAAGAGATGCTGCTGTTCTATCAGATAATTTATATCACTTTTTACTTTTCATCTTCTTGCGACATGTCAGCATGTTGTCACTGAAATAACTAAAGATATCTGAGGTGGATGTCAGTGTCATTAATTTTCCTGTGATTTGGCCATAAACAGAAAATAAATCAAGTTTCTCTCATGCTGATGGACCCTCATAAAACCGCCTGACATGTTATCTCTTAGGGCCATGACACAGGAACTATGCATTATGGTCAGGATAAAATGGAAGGACTATCCTTTTTTTCTTCCAAGGTTGTAGAGAAAATGGTTGCAGGGAACCAAGGGAAAATTTTCTCTGTAGCATTGTAAACTAAAAAAAAACTGATTACAGCAGGTTACTAAAAGTGGCTCGACAAACAGTGCTTCTCATTATTTTAATTAGGATTTTAGTGAATGTTGACACTGAGTAATGTCTCATGTTCTGTTGCTTCGCTGAAGTTTGATTTACCTTATTTTTTATCTCCCACCACACAAAAGTCACTGATATAGTGTCTGTGTTTGTCTGTGAGCAAAATATTTAACAAACCTCTGGACAGATTTTCGTAAGCCTTTCAGGAGACAATTACTGGATGTATCTCGACATCTGTTTACCATTTGGAGTCAATTCATTTTAAGATGGCCAACAGAGCTAAGTGACTATAGCAAGAACATACATGGCTATAACTCAGTCACTTAGTCCCTCGTTTATTGCGGGGGATCCGTACCCTGAAGACCCGCGATAAGTGAAAAACCATGAAGTAGGAATAGTAGTACAAGTAGTAAGTAGTAGTTTATTTTATTATTTATTTATATTAAGGTGTTTTAAACCCTTCCCACACTCTTGCAATATTCTAAACCATGCTTCTAAACTCTAAACGCTCTAAAAGAGCACAGAATGTCATGATTTCAGCTCCCTGCCTCCGCTGCTCTCAGCCATCTGCAAGTGCTATTGGCCACACCCACTTCTCCGCTCTGCACGGAGATCAGCTGTAGCAGGAAGTTTATCCTGCAGCAGTAAGGGCTGCACAAATGTGCAGCAGGTGCTAAATACTTTAAAATAATTTATTTTAAATAAAAATGTCCATGCCGATCGTGTGGCTCATCCATCAATCAGCCAATTGTGTGTCATGTCGAATCTTATTTTGAAAAATCGCGATGGAGCGAGTGTCCGTGGTAAACAAACCGCGAAATAGCGAGGGACTACTGTACACAGATACTGAGATAATATATGATATGGTAGTAGCTAAAATTTATTCACAACAAATACGCTGAGCATGGGATGAGATCCTGCATATCTTCAAGAACTGATTCAAAAAAGTACAAGTGTTTTCTCAACCTAAGATCATAACCTAAAACTCTGTTGTGAAAGTTAGCGGGTGATATGCATTCCCTAAAAGAATGTGATGCCTTAAATTAGAACTGGTAGGAACCAGATGATTGTTGTAAGGGCCGAGATGGGGTAAAGGTAGGGCAGCCGATTTGGGATCCAAAAGTCCCAGGTTCGATCCCCAGCCATTCCCAAATATTGTGGTGTCTCTGAGCAAGACAATAAATCTCTAATTGCTCCCCGGGCGCTTACATAGCTGCCAACTGCTCCATCTGGGTGTATCTATGGTGCGATGGGTTAAATGCAGAGAACCAATTTCACCATTGTATGGGAACATGCAGTGATGACAACATATATCACTTTACTTATTACGTTCTGATACATAAAACCTTCACATTAAAAGAGGCTGCAGCTGCTTTTTAGCAGTGCCCGTGTGATGATTTTGCCCCATTAGGCACAAAAAGTGGAACTATAAATCAAAACTAAAGAGTCCTTGTTGCAGTGACACAGCTTTTTTTTACCTCCATCGGATTGCCTTCGTCATCATGCACACTCAGTATGACTTCTACGTTTTTGGGGGTCTTCTTTTTACCACGGTCAAACTCTCCCTGAAGCAAGGTTACATAAATATCATTCCTCACGTTTCCTGGACAAAGAACAAGAGATCGTCAGGTGAGCGGGATGCGAATTCATGAAGCTCTCTCACAGCTCTGTGCACAATTAAAATGAACAAGGAGGTGAACATAGAGTAATGCCCAGCAACAAAGGCTTTAATCCACCTGGGAGGATGATCTCTGGAAAGCCCATTTTTCTGACGATTGCCGTGCTGCGGTCTACAAAGTGGGGGGAGTCCTTCCTGACTTGAGCAAGGTCCCCTGGGAGGAGCTTCAGGGTCACGAACAGCCCTGCCGGCAGACATGTGAGGAAACCCAATGAGGCAGACGCTAAAAGGGTACGTGTAGCAGATCCCTCATACACATTTACTTTCACTCCAAAACAAAAAGGTTAATTTGGAGCAAGCCTCTGAAATCACAGGGGACAGCGCGGTCTGTGAGCACTTCATCTTACCCTGGCCTTTGTGATTGACCTCCCGCGTGGCTATAACTTTGTTGAAGACCGCCGTGAGCGGCTCGTTCTCTCCTATAACTCGAGAAGGGATGAGAGGAGACATGATGAGCTGCCTCTGGCGGATGTAGGTTTCCATAGCGATCCTGGGGGAGACATATGGGAACAAGAAATATCAGCTGCCACCATTTCTGACAGGTGACAAATAAATGGACGGAAGAGCTGCGGAGGCACTGTGAGGCCTTCTAGATTTATTGACAAGACGCACCATTATCCCTTCAAACATGTCACTTATAGTATCTCAGGAGGCTGCAACAGAAAAACACTAAACACCACTGAGTACAAGAATATTTATGTTTAATATTTAAGTAAACCATTTCATTATTAGAATAACTTCCCTCATTTCTACTGACAAAGTAGTCAAATACAAACATCTGTCTGTGTCATATTTAATCTGACGCCCCATTTACACGGCACGTTTTTTCAGTGAAAGTTCGGCTGTTCATTTACACGACAACAACCCTCGTTCTCTCTGAAACCTAAAGTTTCTGACTCCAGATCTCAAAGTGGAGATTTTCGGGGAACCCCCCAAGGAGGTGTGAAATGCTCCATAAGTGTAAATGCGCACTACAGGCAGCTACAGTCCAAAGTTTGTCTGCACTAACAACAGTTATAATAAATGGCAGAGCGCAGAGTGTTTTTTGTGCTACTCATGTTTTCCGCATGTAGGAGCCAAACTAATAAAATCCAGAGTCCAAAGAGACGTTCGTGTATTCATCAGTTTGGAATAACTGTGATCATGCAGGGTTGCCAGATACATTTAAAATATCTTATTTACCCCCTCCTTTTCTGTGCAAATGTTCAACAAACACAACACACACGACATCTGAGAACCTTGTACGGGGGACCTTGGATGTTCTCTGTCTGCCGGACCCGGTTCTGGAGGTAGTCTGGGAGGCAGCTGCTGCGATCCTTATTATGATCAAGCTGCTGACGGGATCTCATAACAAGACCTGCTAATGCTGCTAACAAGACCACGCCGCTAACCGAACCACAATGCTAACTGGACCATGTTGCTAAGAGAAACCTCACTGTCATCAGAACCACTCTGCCAGTAGGACCATGCTGCTGTAGATTTATTTCTTTTTCACTTTTGGCATCTTGTTTCTGTATTTTTGTTGCATGCTTTGAATAAATCCTAGTTTGTGTTCATTTATTTTATGTTAATGCTCGCATTAAGCGTGTAAATTATAGCCAAACAGAACCTACGAGAATCATGCTGCTGTTGTTCAGTGTATTGTTTTGTCCTATTAGTGACTGGCATATATCTTAGATCTTTTAGCGTACTGTTTGGCGTTGGGTTAGCGTATATCTTAGTTTATATCGTAAATACTTCTTTACTGTTTCTTTTTACACTTTATATTTTTGCTATTGTTGGATGTAATTGGGACCCTGTGTACACAATTTTGTTCCACCTCATGTACCACATGTGGTGCGAATGACAATAAAGAACCTTGAATCCTTGAATCTTAGAATATCTTTACTCAGCACATGTGAAAGTTTGTCAAAATATTATCATTTTAAAGAGACACTACTATAGTTCATAATTTCTTATCTGGCAACCCATTTGACATGTACAGTGTTTTTGTGTAAACCCTCTCTCTCTTTTTTTTTTGTTTATTATCCCAATAAATATTGAAAAAACATGTAACATTTCCGGAGACTGCGACGAAGTGAAAACTCAAAGCAATCTGCTGGCTCCTTAGATAAATAATGTTATGAACTTACTTTATAATGTTTCTGTTCAGTGCCCTGAGATGACTTCTGTTGTGATTTGGCGCTATATTAATAAACTGAACTGAAATGAACTGAGGTTGTTTTCATGTGAACAGGGCCTTAGATAGCACCATTATGTCTGACAAACTGAAACGGCTTCATTTTCACTAAGGAGCTTACTGTGGGTTGCAACATCATCCGCCCTCTTGAAGCTCCTATTTTGTTGCCTCATTACCTGGAATTTGTTTTTAAATACTGGACTTACACAAATTACTTCAAATGAATGAAGTGAAGAAAAAATGTTTGAATGAAAGGCCTACCAAGCCTTATTGGAATGCATGTCACCCAGCTGTGGTTTTAAAAATCACTGCTAAGTGTATAAACAATGGAGTTTTAAATGTCTTTGGAAAAATCTTGATAAAAGTGTCATGAAGTGATGTCGTACAATCTGTTCAGAGTTTGTAGTGGGAACCTCAGCTACTACCACACCAAATTTTAGCATAGTATCTGTAAATTTGACAATTATACATTGTATTGAACTGTGACTACATATGCACACTTACCACTTACATTTTTTGAGTGATTAAAACTTGTGTTTTCCATCCATCCATCCATTTTCTTTACCCGTTTATTCCATTTTGGGTCACGGGGGTCGCTGGTGCCCATGTCCAGCAATCACTGTGCGAGGGGCGGGGTACACCCTGGACGGGTCGCAAGTCCATCACAGGGCCACATAGAGACAAACAAGACAAACAACCATTCACTCTCTCACGCACACCTAGGGACAATTTAGAGTTACCAATCAGCCTAACATGCATGTTTTTGGACTGTGGGAGGAAACCGGAGTACCCGGAGAAAACCCACGCATGCACGGAGAGAACATGCAAACTCCACCCAGAAAGGCCCCTGGACCGGGGTTTGAACCAGGGACCTGCTCGCTGAGAGGCAGCAGCTCTACCAGTTGCGCCACCGTGCTACACTTGTGTTTTCAATTATTTTTATTAATTTTGAAGTATTTAGTGCAAGTACTTATGATCAAACTGAAAATCTTTTAAAATTCCAGTTTGTAAGGCACCAAATTAAAAAGAACTCAGAATACTGTTGCCACCCACAGCCAGTATAAATCATCATATGCAGAATATTTAACCAAACAAACTGAATCATCTGATGTTCGGTGAAAGAAGCAGCTGCATTCATGCTTATTGTTCTCATCCATGTAAACAACCAAATTAAGAGTATAAGACTTCCTAATTTCTCAGTTTAACACAGTTTACACGCAAAAAGCCATATATTTTTAACATGTGTATTTTACATTTATCTTCCAGGTGAAACAAATTTATTCCAAGTTATACCATTAAAATAAAGCAGTGCCACGCGAAAGAGGAAGTGAGAACAGGGAGGCCAAGGATCCATCAAGCTAAGAGGCTTTGTGTTCTACAATTTTACATCACTTTTGGGTACTGTATTTTAAAACAAATGTTGCTGTGAAAAGATGTATGTGAATAGTTTTAATGTAGACCCTTTTCTATTATTTATATGCACAAATAATAATGAGAAAAACATGACCCAAAAGGTCAGCTCCATGTAAGCGTGTATTCTTTAGCAGGGCAGAAAAGTATAAAGTACTGTACGCATGTAGTTTTAAAAGGAGAGGCGTCAACACAAGCCACAGGTCAATGCTGCAGTTAAACTGGCTTTTATTCTAAACTCAAGAATGTTCCACATGAATGCAGGATTTCTGATTACCAGAATATGATGCATAATATTAAAAAGCACTCTGGCACATTTTCTTTTAGAAGACCGGCACTGAAAGCCTCTGTCTGTCAAGGAAAATGTTTTATGAGCTCTTTGAGATGTTTTTTGGAAACCACTTCAGTGTTTCAAAAGTAATGAAGTAAATATCAATGTCCTGTTGACTCTAATCTTTTGCTCTTTTAAAAATTAATTTACCCTGACCTTTTTGGTTTTAACTTCAACTATCCAACTCGTTGTTAGGAAGTAAGTCGATTAGTGCTAATGAAACAGGAATTCATTTGTCAAGGAAGCAACCCTGAACAAAGCTCAGTGCTGTAATTTGTTCTTTGTGTAGAAAAGAAAATCCTTAACTCTTTATTTGCATAAATGTCTCTAATGGCTACTTTATTTATTCAGCTGAAAGCTACACACAATTAACTTTTTTTTTTAATTGATACGTGTTGATTAATAATCCATTCTATGTTTATCTGTTGCGCCTCGAGAGGAAACCGCTGTTTTGTAGAGCAGCAAACAAACAGCGGTTTTCTACAGACAACATGTGGTTTACGTCACCAGAAGCAGCTGAGGTGTTTCTGAGGCTCTTCCATCTAAGACCTCTGTGAACACGTCGTCCTGAACCCCCCCACTGTGCAGCTGCAACAAAAGCCCGCTGCCTTTGAGAAGACCTAAGACTCAGGATTGCAAAGAAGGTTTTATTTATTTATTTATTATTAGTATTTGTCCTTGAAATGCAGCGGAGGCAAAGTTAAGCTGCAACCTTGAAAAAGAAGCAGAAGAACATGATAAGGACCGAGTATAGCTCTAGTTCTTGTGAGTCAGAAGTTTTTTTTTCTGACTTGGGTGGCATTACAGAAAATAACGCAGCCTGCTTCACTAGGTAGAAGATAAAAAGACTCACTGTTGAAAGGGGATGAAATGCTGTTTGTCCTCATCATCTATTTTGCCGTGGGCAATGTCTGTAATGTCCATAACTGCAACGACAGACACGATGGAAGGAAACCAGTAAGGCACAAAATACAAAAAACAACAAGAGTACCACATATGGCACATGGATACGCTCATCGACAAACCGTTATACAGCAATCTATAGCAATGGCCTGGATTAGCAAAGACCTTGTCTAACATTTGACCTTGATTTGTGACCTTGACCTTAGCGATAGGGTGATGAAAAAAAATTACCGTATTTTTCGGACTATATGGTGCAACAGATTATAAGGCGCATAAAGCGAAACTAAAACATTTTGACAAATTTTTGAGCGCCGTGCACCGGTTCGAGGTCAGTAAGCACAACCAGAATTAATGCATGAGGTGCACCAAATTATAAAGCTCACTGTTGATTTTTGAGAAAATTAAAGGATTTTAAGTGCACCTTATAGTCTGAAAAATATGGTACGTGACACGCTGATTAGAGGTGGTACAAATGTGTATCAGGTTGTGTTAAATTGTCTTAAGTGGAACAGAGGTTACGGGAAGGACACGAGGAAAATTACAGACGTAGGGACGGAGACTATTCCACAACATGTCCTCCTTCGACAGACGTAAAAAAAGGTTTAATAATCCCTGAAGGAATGCGCATCATCCGCCGCCCTCATGCCAGTTTTAGACTAAGATTATGTTAAAATAAGAAATCTCAATTTTAAAGCCATTTTGATTAGACCTTGAAAATAAAGTTACGCACAATCTCGTGCAGTATCGCAAAATGTCAAGTGATCTGTTAGCACTTAAAGTATATGTTGTGAATGACGCTCGGCTACTACCACACTAAACGTTAGCTCAATATCTGTAAAACTGACAGAGTTACATGGTTTTTGTTTTGACTAAACTTGCCCCACTGTGGCAGCCACCTTGAACGGGCAAGACTTCAGAAGTTAATCGGTTGTAGAAGAACGTCTGATGGATGTTTTCTGAGAGTTTCATTATATGCATCCTGTGGTGCATGAGATATTTTGCTAACAGACGGAAAAAAAAAACACAAAGACTCTGGCAAAAACGTTATCTCCCACCATTCATCTTTATGCCCACTTTGTTCGTTAACAAAAACAACTTTAAATGTGAGTTTTCTTGTGCATTAACTATAAATCTGGAAGTAGTTCTGTTTACTTTAAGCCGAGCGTTGAATGTGAATCGCCTGCTGCTTGGCGCGACCACAAGTCAGCATAGTTAAACAGACGGAGGCTTCTTGATCTGCAGCTTATAAATGTCTTCAAATTCCACACAGCCCTGCTGCCAACGTGCGCCTGTGTTTCTTTCCTGGCTAAGAAAAATGTAACTTCAAAGTTAAATGTTGTTTCAGGCTCTGGTTTGAGTCCATTTGTTGAACCGCCAGAGGAAACCATTTCTCGTTTTACCCAAAAATCCTCTGTCCAAAATTAAAGCGACACTTTCCGAATCAGTTTCCCACAAACTGCTGCCAAGGCAGAAAGAAGACGTTTTCTGTGCCAGGAAGCAGGTGTTTTAATTTAGTTTAACACAGGGATCCTTCATTTCAATCATGCATCCGTATCCCTACATAGGTGTTTTATTGTTGTTGTTGAAGTAACTTTTTAACAAGGTAAACATTGGAAGAATAAAAAGAAACGATGCCCACCAGCCACGCCGAAGGGTCTCCTCAACCCGGCGGTTTGCTTCTTGCACTCTTTGAGCTCCATGCTGCCCACTCTGATGATCTGACACACCAGGAAGAGGCGCTGCCTCATCAGGTCGCTGCTGCTCAGGTCCTGGGAATGAAAGACAAACAAAGATGATCTGCGACGGCACACGAGGTCCATTAGATACAAAAGCCAGTGACCTTCTCCTGTCAGCAGCAGTTCACTGAGTCCATTCACTTAGATAATGTAGACTGGAAACAGAGTAAAAGCAGCTGCAAATGCTTTAAAAACACACACAATCTATTCTGTTACTCTGTGATGCGACTGTCTCAACATTAGGCAACAAATAAAACGAAAGCTCCTTGATTAATGCGTTTAATCATACAGGCACAACAACTTTTGTTAGGAAAGACAGTGTCATTAAAACAAAAAGCATCAGCACAATGGAAGGAAATCCATTTGAGTACTCAGTAATGTGCCGTGAAAGTGAAGCATTCAGAGAAACTTTCAATTAGGAGCCATGCCGAAGCAAATTTTCCTCTTTGGTCACAGATTCCAGGCAGCGTTTGGACTGTGTAAGCGTGAGACGGAGGGAGTGCCTCAGCAGACGGGGGTTCAGTTACCGTGAATAAGGCGGGCAGGTTGTTGAGTTTTTCGATTTCTTTAGGCATCCCCATACTGTCCCAGCGCACCAGGAAGTTCTCACTGCATAAATTGAAATAGGAATCACAGTCAGAGATCACATTATCTGAGGCAACGAGAGAAATAGAAAATGTGAAGTAACTCAAGAAGCAATACTGTTTTTATTTTTTTCTTCACTGTCAAATCTGCATCACAAAAATATATTTGGGTGCCTGAAATCTTTGATTACTGTTGATGTGTTTGTAATTTCTGAAAGTGACTTTTTAAATTAAATACCCCCAGCTCAGGGGTGTTCAAAGTGTGGCCCGTGGGCCATTTGCGGCCCTTGGAGTGATTTTGAGTGGTCCGTGACTGGCTTAAGAGGTTGATGAAAATGTAGACTTGCAAATTTAATAGTGCTACGTTTTATATATTTTTTAGGTTTAACAGCAAAATAAAAGAAAAATAATCTCCTCAAAATGAGCAATATTAGGTACAAAACCACCTTTGGTTATAAATAATCCTTTTTTATTATTATTTGATGGTACACAACACAACAATGCTTTACTGACTTCTAAAAACAACTTCTCCATTACGCTAATGTTTCTGAGAAGTAACTAAAATGAACTTTCCAAGCACAAATAAATAAAAAAAATTGACCCAGCAAATCAAATAAATTAAAATAGTTTTTTTTTAAATAAATGTAAGATTAATGTTAAGGAAGTTTTTGATCTAAAATAAAAATATGTAAACTTTTGTCTTTTTGCCAATACAGTAGTCCCTCGTTTATCGCAGGGGATCCGTACCCTGAAGCCACGCAATAAGTGAAAAACCACGAAGTAGGAATAGTAGTACAAGTAGTAAGTAGTAGTTTATTTTAGGATATACAT